TGCAGTGGTGTTATTGTGGTACGGGACTGATACAGTGCAGCACATATACACCACACCGGGGTACACCACACCGACCTGCTGTGCAGTCATTCTGGATCAAAGACTCGGGTGCACACCGTCCGGGTCCGGACCTTACCGGATTACTGACCCGGTACGACTTCGATGCAGAAGGACCGCATAGTAGACAGCCGCAGGTGTGCGTGCCCGCGTGAGTGTGTGTGGCTTCGGGGGGCGGGGGGGAGGGAGTTTTGCGTGCATCGGTAGCGTACCATAATAATACCACGTGTTGGTGCGAGCATCATTGTCATCATGGCAGCGGCAGGCCTTTGTTATGCGCGTGCGAATCGGGCCTTCCGTGTAGACCAAACAGAGTGTATCCGCTAGGCCCATGTGAACACATACACACCTGCCATACACACTAGAGCCGCTGCAGGCAAGATGCATTCGGAAGGGACGGACGAACGGTAAGATCCGTGGTTCCGGATGTGTCAGCGAAGGGGACTGCAGACACACGGCAGCGGCAATCCGGAAGGGATGACAGGCAGTCAGACGGTCAGACGGAATAGCGTGGGTGCAATCATATAACACGGAGTGACATGGGGGCGGGTACTAGTACGGTCACGACGAGGACTGAAAGGGGGCGGAAGTCGGGCCGGGAGCATACCTGTCGAGTGCATGGTGAATGGCAGAAGCCGCGGTGCCTGCATAAGCGCGCGATCGGCAGCAGCTAGCACCGCCGCATAGGCGGCAGGACGGTGTACTGGCACGACATCCGTCGTGGTGACGTGTTGCTGCGGCGTTCGTACGTCGCGTCCGTGTGTTAATAGGGCCCTCGCTGTCGACTAAGTGGAGCCCATACTGCATGACCTGCCATGGGTGGACAGCGGTGAGAGCATGGTAGAAAGGAACGGGATATATACAATATATGAACGGCTGCAAACGTGTGTGCAGACACACGGCAGCGGCAATCCGGAAGGGATGACAGACAGTCAGACGGTCAGACGGAATAGCGCAGGTGCAATCATATAACACGGAGTGACATGGGGGCGGATACTAGTACGGTCACGACGAGGACCAAAAGGGGGCGGAAGTCGGGCCGGGAGCATACCTGTCGAGTGCACGGCGAATGGCAGAAGCCGCGGTGCCTGCATGGTCGCGCGATCGGCAGCAGCCAGCACCGCCGTATAGGCGGCAGGACGGTGTACTGGCACGACATCCGTTGTGGTGACGCGTAGCTGTGGCGGCCGAAATGTGGATCCAGTGGCGCTCGTACGTCGGGTCCGTGTGTTATTAGGGTCCTCGTTGTCGACCAAGCAGAGTATACATCGCAGGACCTGCGATGGGTGGACAGCGGCGACAACATGTTCGAAAGGAACGGGATATATGCAACACATAAACGGCCGGAGACGGCAAAGGCAGCGGTACGGGAATAGGTATACATGGCACCATAGCAGCGTACGTGGAGCATCACAACTGCCAACACCGGATACACGACCGCCGTGCGGAAATAGAGACCGGCGGCGAAGAGGTGCCGAAGGGTGTCGGAGAGGCATGGAGGCACGCTAACACGATCACATATGTACCTGCTATACACGCCAGAGCCGCTTCAGGCAATAGGCATTTCGAACGGACGGACGAGCGGCAAGAGCGACGGATGGGACCCCGTATGTGTCAGCGCAGGAGACTGCAGACAGACGGCAGTGGCAATCCGGAAGGAATGACAGACAGTCAGATGGTCAGACGGAATAGCGTGGGTGCAATCATATAACACGGAGTGACAGGAGGGCGTGTATTTATAATCCAGACACAAGACTGTGCGGGCAGTGCATCGCATCGCACCTCATCTGATGCGCCGACACATACGGACGCCAACTCATCGCACACTTAGCGCGCGCGATGGAGACCTCGCAGGAAAAGCGCGGCATGGAAATGCTCGGCACCAGGAACCACGATACACGCAAATATGCAACGCATTGCAGCGACGATGCGTGACGGTTGTGCAGAAGCAGGGCCGGATATTGCGAAAACTCGCTATGTCGAAAAAGCAAGAGAAATAATAAGCAGCAAGATGAACACCGGTAATACAGACTAATTATCGCGGCCGTTAAGCACTTGCTTTGACACGCAATATACATACATCTAAAATAAACAGTTCTACACAAAACATGTACAAGGAGAACTGACATAAAATAGTTTGCGCGTGCATAAAAAGAAACGACACCAAAGTTGTCGTACACATGTTAACATGACGTGATTCCGCGGACATCGTGCACACGTATGCGTGGACACCGTCACAACGGCGAGTCGCTATGTCGTAGTAAAGGATGTACGTAAATAAAAACGAAAACCGACACAAAACGAGGTCATGCAAAACAACGTATGTCGTACACTTGCTGGCACGTTCTCGTGCGACGGACAAGCACTAACGTGCCGACACGCACATATGTGCGTTGCGTCATAATGCACACTTACCGCGCCTAACGGAGGA